AGAGAAAACTGAGTCTAAACAAGTCTCAGAAAAACATTCAATTTTTACTTAAATGCTCCCAGCTGTTCTGTATGCTTCAAATGTCATGGATTATTATAAAGCTAAGACCTTTATTCCCTTGCTTTACATGTCTCACCTAAAAATAGGTACAGAAAGGAACTTAAGAGACCCTCTGATAAAGTTCCTTGTCTCAGGTCTACATCATCTGTGCTTGGAGAGTGATGGTAATGAAATACTAAGATTCTGGGGGTTTGTTGGTCATCTATAGATCAGGAAGAACTTCATTCTTGTACTGTATAATTTGGCCTTTAAATTGTATCACCTTCCTTTGAGAATGGCTGCTTGAGGAAGTGCGGTATTGAACACAGGTGAGCTGTGCCTTCAGGTGTGGCAGGTATTCGTCTTTTTGTTTTCCTAGTGCAGTTTCTTTGCGGACTGCATCATGCAGTGATTAGACTTCTGGCTGGGAAAGAGATTTCCTCAAAGTCAGATTGGCAGGGATATTCTTTCCCCGCCTTTTTTTTCCTGTAGTATAGCAGGCAGGCTGTGTGTACCACCAGCTGGAATTACTTAGGTACTTCTCACCTAAGGGCTTTCCTGCTACATCGGGCACTGGGGATAATGATGACACTTTAGTAGTCTCTTTACTTATTGTAGCAATCAGTTTAATTTTCTAGGCTTGAGGTATTTGGCCTAGGTAATTCTTGAAGCTTTACAAAAGCACAGCTGTGTGAAATGTAATGGCTGTGACAGATAGATGGCCACAGTGAATGATCTAACATCTTTTCATATTAACCTCCACTCATGCGCAGCATTCCCAGATACTTGGAGGTTTCAGTACATCAATTCCGGTGGAGGATTGTTCACCTAAAACCTTTCAGACAGTACGTAACAGTATGAGTATGTAGAGGTAATTTAAAGAAAAAAATATTAATCTTCTTTGCAACACAAACTCAAGAAATAAGTAGTGCTAGCCTCAATTATACACATTAGGAAATTTTTGTTTAGGACATGCCCAAGCCCTTAATTCTGCAGCCTAACAATTGTCGTTACCTGATAATCACAAGTGCAAGAATAAACACTGCACTGCATCTAACGTATCTTAAAAATTAGTGCAGTCTATTTCTTTTTTCCTCATGGTGTCACTATAGGATAAAGTTAATGTTCTTTGGGTATTCTCTATACTGGAGCGTATCTCCGTTTCCTTTGTCTCACTCTGACTTTCTGGGTTTGCTGTTACATGTTTAGAGAAGGTGATAACAAATGTACTGCCTTCAAATCTGGACATGTTCTCTCAAGCATTAACCCATCCTTAACTGTGCATTGATTTTTCATTTTGTTTTTTAAAAGGATTTAATATAAGAATAAATTTAGCTTTGGATAAGGATCTAGAGAATTTGAGCAGTTCTAATGACTTGAAGGTAGGAATTACCACGTTTAAAAAAAATGACAAAAAGGCATGTATCTTACAATTAAGTGATCTTATGATGTTAAATCTGTAGTATATCTTCTACGTGTGAGGAAGAAGTTGAAGGCCCTCAGTTTCTGCCTAAGCATCACCTTTTCTTCTGTGGTTGTAAAGTGTTTTGAATTCAGCTTTCTTGATTGATAGAAAAGGCAATTTTCTTTTCCAAGCTCTTGGTAGCAAGAGTAGAGACAGATAATTTTGTTTCGTTCACATATCGATAGCATTTTTGTCTGTCTAGCTGTTACCATTTTACCCAGACCCACATTCTCAAAGACATCTCGGTACCTGACTCCTATAGTGGAAGGGTGGAAGATGTGGCACTAGTGAATATGTATACATGTTAAGTAGGACTGACAAGAAATTTGTATGTACAAGAGCGGGAGCCAGGCATGGAGGCACCGTTTCCCATTCCTGAATTTGGAGCACATCCTTCCTGACAGGCAAGGCCCATAGGCCATTTCCCTGATTTCCCTTTCACGCCTCTTCAGTAGGACAGTGGTGTTTGGGCTGGTTGCGTTCAGGATTGTAACGAGGATGAGTGTGACTGTCTGGTCATTAGGAAGGAAATCATCCACCGGTTCCACAGAATCTACCTCCTAGTGTGAACCCTGGCTGCAAGTGAATCTTGTATGTTTGTTCCAGTTAGCCGAGCTTGTGATCAGCCTCCGTCTAGCTTGGCTTATCAGCTCACTGGTGTGAACATTAACTAGAACCACTTCTAGTCAAGGGTGGACTTGATCGCAGTATGGTCAGTTTGCTAGTTTAGCAAAGAAGTTGGTTCACCTAAAAAAGTTATAGAGCACTAAACAGTTACAGAGCTTTTCGGTAGAAGCCTGAGCATTATCCCCCTGTGCCTTCCAGTGAGCTGAAAATTCTGTCAATATTTCCAGCAAGTTAAGAGTTGTTTTTTGAGTCCTTTTTTTTTTTTTTCCCCACTCTCTTCAGCCGGTCTTTTTGTATGAGATAACAGTTATCCCTCTTCTTAGATAAGTGCACACATCTAAATATTGTCTCTAATCCTTATGCCATGTCTTTCACTTATATGCTTGTCACTGCCACACAGTTCCTCTGTAGAGTCAATTGTTCTTTGGGCTGGTAGTTTGGAGACAGTTGAAGTTACTATTTCTAGACTGTTGACTTGATGATGTCTTAGACATCACCCTCCAGTGAAGTGTGAAGCAGGACAGCTGAATAGCACACATTGAAAGAAATCTAGGGCAAAATTAAATGAGAATTCTGCGCACGGTGTGAACTGCCTGTTTTAATCTAGAATGGAAGCTATGAACTATTTCACAGTTGGATGTGAAAGTTTGTTAGTTGTCTAGCGTGCTGATTTCTTTTCCAAAGGACTGACACAACCTTCTTCATGAGCTGCTAATTCAATTCCCAATAGTCCTAATTTTACAGCCGTGCCAGTTTTTGATGCTGAGATGTTGGCCTCAAACTGCAAGTCATGTGTAACACTGTGGTTCTGCAGGAGAAACAGCCCCTCATAAACTTATTGGCGGAACAGGAGAACCAGATATGCTGGGTGTCTTCTTCTACCAGCTGTGAGCTGTAGCTCCTCTGGCTTCTAATAAATGCCAGACTGGGTTGGAGGAGTCACCACATCCAGTTTGAAATGCAACATCTGCTTTAGGAAACCCCCCACGTCCACAACACAGATTTTCCCTGTTTGTTCCCCAGGAGTTTCTCCAGTCTTTACGCCTTCTCCCACCAGCAGCTTCTTTAGCTTGCGTATTAGAGACCTCACGATGCAAGTAATTCTCAAAACCCTTTGTGACCCACACTTACCTCACTTTGTTTCCAATTTCCTTATCTTCTCATCTCAAATGCAATCTGCTTCCATATCATCTCTCTTCTTTTGCCTGTTCTCCACCCTCCTGCTGTAAGGCAGTTGTTGCAATTAACTTCTGGTTTTGCAACATCTAAACGCTCTAGTTCCTTCACACGCTCTCCTTGACTGCCTCTGCTTCCCTCTTACCTTGACTAGAGGTCAAGAATAGCAATTTTCCTCACTTTCTGATCTTTTGAAGGTGTCTGGCTTCTTCCCTGCCTTCACTTTTAAGACTGACCATTGTCCCCTTCCTGCCTGTACACTTGCAGTGTACTAGGAACTTTAATGGAAAGTCACCTTGACCAAAAAGGACTAAAGATCAAATGGTAACTGCTTTGGGTTAGTGCAGGTTTGTAGAAGGCTCTTTGGATTTGAAGAAAGGAATGCTGAACCACTGTCCAATGCCAGAGGGGACCCCACGGACTTCTCTCCAACTGGCTTATGTTTGTATCAGTTAGTGAGGGAAATGTCTCGCTCTAAAATGCCAGGCTTCTGCAAAGAAAGAAATGCTTTGTGCCTGTTAGCTTTTCTCTCTCCTTCCAGTTTTAATTTATGTCTGCTGTGGGGGCTCCGATCGTTCACTGACTCACCGCATCCCAAAATTTTTCTCTCCACACTCACTCGTTCCCCCACCAGTCTTTCATCTGTCTCATCTTTCATCAGTCTTGCTAGCCATCCTTCAGTCTCTTTTGCCCCAATTATCCCTCGCAAACAAGTTCAGCAGCTTACTGTGCCACCTTACCTGCTTGACATCTCTTTGATCAACCCAGATCAAATTCTTCCAGCAAGTTTTTCCCTTATGTCTGATTAGAGTTGAACTTGCCGCTCCTTTCTCATCCTTGTAATTTTAGGGGTCACTCAGCTACATAAGAGGTGCCCCAGTTTTATAGCCTGAAAATCTGGCCACTTTGTACTTTCAGTGCCTGGAGTGAATGTGCTTTAACATAATTCCCTGTGCGACCCTTTACAGGGTGCGATTAAATATGAGAAGTCAGCAGTTGAGTAGTGTAGTACACTGAAGAACCAGTTAATTAAGGACTTTACAGTATGAAGTGTTTACCTTCCGTAAACAAAATCTGTATTCTAAAGCAAGACTGTCTCCACAGCAATGCCTGGGTTTGTGCAGGACAAGATCCAAAGCCCAGTGAAATAGGGGAAAGAGGAGGGGAGGACCTTTCACTGATTTCTGTGTCCTTTGGATCAGGCCCCTTAAATCCTTTAGCAATGATAAAATGATACACAAAGCACTGGGACTGTACAACTTCATTTTATTTTGTGTGCTTTTATAGGATATAAATAAATGACAAAATTACAAAATTTATAACTGGAAGCCCAAGCATATTTACATAAGTATTTGTTGCAGTGAGGCTACTATTTACTGTTCTCCTATACAATTTTCCTTTTGGTACCATATTTTTAGTGTTATTTTTTTACCGTCAGTTGACTACGTACATATCAACAGTGAATAGGCAAAATATGTACAAGGAACTATTTTGTTCAAGTAAATTGAATACGGTATTAAAAGTATGTCATCACTCAGCGCTATGATTAGGTTTAACTAAACCATATACAATTATCAGGTTTAAACCAAGTTCAATTATCCATTTTTTTGGAATTTACCAACTGATGATTCGAACTGAAAACCTCAGCTGGATATGAAATAATAATTAAAAAAACATTAAGACAACCACACAATTTATCAATATCTCTATAATGAACTTCAAAATGATTCACAATTTGACTGGATAGAACAATATACGTTAAAATGTCATTTTTCTCCTATAGTGATATTTGTACTGTTATAATTTCAGTTCTACATAAATATACATCATGGTATTATACAAATACTCCACAGACATTAAAAAAATTAAAACACTTCAAAGAAAATGTAAGTAAATCTTATTTAATCAAATATTAAGCAAATGCTTAACTATTTTGTTCCATGAAAACATTTTTATTACTTTGGAATTTTTTTCCTTTTCTTGCTATTTTTATTTAGAAAATGTTTTGCAGTAGAATTTTATCAACACTCTTCCAAATGAGCTTTCTGTGAGAGAAATCTTGATAGCAAAATCCATGGTTTTGACTTTTTTTAGAACCACTGAGATTATTTTTAAAAATACTAGTAGAATTCATGGCTATAGCAATGTTGAACTGCATAAACTATATGTAGGTGTAGTAGAATGAGCATTCCACTTTCATTCCAGACTGATCACACGGAACATCCAGTGCACTGATGCTACAACTCTTACAATTTTCATAATGCTGCAATAGCAGTGGTTTACTTAACTTTAAAATAAACAATATTTGTCATAATTAATCTGGCTTCCTTCCATAAATATTCATATGTTTTCCTATAGTACTTCTCTTCCATAAAAATATCTAATAAATGTTTTCTGTGCATTATTAATACCTTTTTCTAACCATTCATAAAACTCTGATCCTTTGTTACAATGCAAGAGGTTTCTATTTCTGTAGAGGATCAAAGGACACCAATGATTACATAGAAAACCAGCGCACACAGAAATCAGGGTGCCTAATTTCTTGTCACTTTAATGAGTTCTTTATTCAACACAGTAATTATTAATGAATTCAGTGGTTTCACAAATACTCTATTTATTAATTCTGGTTCTATTTCAATTAAAAACTGCCAAGATTTAAATAAAAAACCAATCAAATATTCTACTCATAGGCAGCATCAGCGTTAGTTTAGAGACCTTTTGCTTTTTTTTAAAAAGTAGAATCCGAAAATAAGAAATCAAAGAAAGCACTGTGGCAGAGTCACAAGGGAGAACTGCGTGAAAAATAAGGTATCTCACTCCTCTTGTGGACTGTAATTTTAAAAGTCTTCATATAGTGTCATTCTTCTGTCAGTGCTGCAGGAAGAAGAAATCACCAGAAATGACCGTCAGCCTTTTTTTGTGTTAGTTACAAGGCCACTCATACAGTGCAGTCTTCCTCTCTGCTGGATTGAAACGTTGCCATAAAGGAAAGGCTGTGCTGTGACTGCTTGGCGTGCAAGGCACAACAAGGAACAGGGGGACAGTTTTGTATCAGAAAATGGTAGTTTCATACTTGGTATTAATGCCTCTTTTGGCTTCTTGTCCAGGCTCAACAATCCACGGTAGATTCGCAAGAGTCTTTTGTTCAGAGGGATCTATCTGCTTTAAGACAAACGCAAACATACAGACGGGTTACCATCTCTGTGCACAGCATTTCTAGCATTTTCTTTAGCGAAGAGAACACAGAACAAATCCCGTGTTGACAAAGTCCTACAGCAGCGAGTGCAGTGGTCTACACTCCCATGTACCCACGGTTTTGCCTTCCGTATCCTGTTTAGATCAGAGCTGTGTCTATCCCCGAGCTACGGGGCATCAGAGTTCGGTAAAGCTACGCTTGATCCTGAGAAGTCCTTTTGCTACCGAGACTGATGCCGGCATCAGGAAATGTTCTTTCTTAAAATTTTATGGATGAAGATTCTGTGGCAATGGATGACAAAGGGTATGGTCATACATTTTTTTCCTTCCCTTCCTCTCATGCAGTAATTAAATATCACAGAGTATGGGTCTCACTTTATAGCCAGTGAGTATGATACAGTGTGCGGTCATTTTTCCCCTTCCCTCCCAAGCCACCCTGTGCCTGTATTTTCACTTGATTTAAAATAGTTTTCTAATTCTTTTAAAAGCTCTACCATAAAAGAATATTTCTGTGTCATCTGTGCACTTTAAAGACAATCAATACGTAGGCTCCGATGAGCTTGGATTCCTAGGAGTTTGGGATTCCAAAGACAATATTGAAAAGGTACATGGAATCCCAGTTTTGGAGCCGGAGGGTCTGCCGAGGTAAGAAAAAAGAAGTTGCTTGATGTGACAAGATAATTGTAAATCGATTTGGAATTGTAATTTGATTGAGTATCAAACAAGTTTGGTGCGGATTTTATGTCTTGATTCAAGACCAGGGAAGTCCACGAAACCGCACAGTTTTAGAGGTATGCATTGTCTGTGATCCTCAGCACTTAAAAAAGCACAATACATTGGAATTACACCGAATCAATTACAGCTCTGGAATTACTACAAAAGACACATCCACAACATTAGCCAAGGAACATCTTAAACTGGAGGAATCCGAAATGAGCAGTTGTTCCACATGGCTGTCCATGCTGCAGTGACACAACCCCACCGGCTGACAAGCAGAGGTGGCACAACTGAGACATGGAACATTTCTGACCCCACAGGTACAGTGTATTTATTTATACAGCTTCTACGTATATCAAGTCTTAACTGTATAGCTGGTTTTTTATCATTTTTTTTCATGCACAACTACTTTCTACTTACCACTGACTTCCGAATACTAACACGTGGTTTGGGAATAGGTTTGGAGGGTTTATTTTCAAAGCTTTCTGGAAGGGTTGAAGAATGGCCCCCTTTTCGTGCTTGTAGTGCAAGCTGATAGGCCACCTCAAATGCTTGTCCTAGTGTAAGAATGATTTCGTAAGCTAAATTCTGGAACAAAACAAAAACAGTCAAAACTGGAGTGAGGTTGAATTACCGTTAGATACGTGAAGTGGGGTACTACTGTCTGCAGAAGTGACTTGTAATGTAAATAATTAAAATCACAGTGGTAATAACTATGATTCTACCTCTGTAACTAGTCAAGTCTAACTGTTGAGTTTGCAATAAGCCAGAAAGCAAAGCACGACACTTGGAAGTACACTATCTGCCCTTGAATCGTTAAAACACAGTTAAAAGGATAAACATTTTATTTCATGCCCTACACTGTAATTTCACTGTAGTTACGAAGAAATTCCATCCCTTTGTTATCACACATGTATAGTGAGATAGTATAGGCTAAACTCAGCATATTTAGCTCATTGTAAGAGCTTCTTACAAAGATGCCAGCTCTGGTCTTTGTTAGGTCAGACAGAAAACAATTATACTGCTCCACTGGGATATGCTCTCAGCTGTTAGGACTGCAGTCACAACAGCAAGCTAGCCAAAGTTTCATAGCTTCCCAAATAAAAATGTCCGCCTGATTTGATAGCAGCAGTCTCCAAATTGTCTCCCCTTTAACTTAAGGAAACTGGCTGGGACTGAGAAACACTGAGGCTGTAGTTTGCCCGTGGAGTAATAAATGTAAGACTAAAGAGACTATTATAAAGTGCCCTACCTTTCAGCAGAACGCTGGCTATGGAATTAAGACCAACAGAGTATAATTGTTAAAAATGTACAGAATAATATTATTTGAAATGGAGGGTGCCTATTAGCAGGACAAGAATATTATTCTAAAGAAATCTTAATCTGCTGTCATGACGGTAAAATAGTGTACTATATCATCATGGGATTGTCTACAGTGGATGTTATTATTGCTAAGGAATACATCAACAGGACAGGGTGTAGTAATGGCTTGGAGAAAAAGCAGACTGTAATACTAGTGGGACTGAGAAAACGTGCCATCTAGTGTGGCATGCAAAAAGGTCACTGAGAGACAGGTCTGGAAAGCTCTGAGATAAGAGTGGAGACAAGCCCGGAGTTTGCCATGCAGAGACATAAATCTAGTCGGGGTCCTGCATCTTGTCAGAAGCCATTATGATTTGCTTTCTCTTGTAGTCTGTAAAATGAAGAAATAGGCCTGCCTGGAGCCTGAAAGCCATTGGAAACATGTAACTGTTTCTGTGGTTAATAAATATTTGAAATACAGCAAATAAAACAGAACAGTCACTGTTCTGTTCAATATTTGAAATGTAAACTGAACTGTAACTTGTACATAGATTTCATATACTGTGTACTGTGGTAGAGCCTTGACAAAGAGAAGTCTGCAAATGAAGGCAAGGAGGGCTTTAAAATTGTACATTGGAAAATTTAAAAAAGGTATCTGCAAAACTATATTTGGAAAAAAAGAGAATCAAATAAGTTTGGTTTGAGGAATTTCTCTCGTGTAGTACTGGGAGAGGAATATGCGGATTAGAGTTGTTACAGATTGTTGCATGGGGTGTACTGGAGAGGTAAGAGCAGAACTCCCTTGGGGATAGGGGTGGAAACCCAAACCACAAAAGCCGTTGTAGAAATTCTTGTGATGGAGAGAGGAGACTATTTGATTATTATTATTTTTGTTTTTTGTACATGTGGCACAAAAGGAAGGAAACAGGTCTGCCACCCTGGAAGATGCTTAACACAAAAGTTGTAGACCCCCTGGTCACTGTAGAAGACATTGACCCAACAAGACAACACCCCATCAAGCTCCTCGGAAAGGAGGCAAAAGTTTTAGGACCATGGTGGTTCTGAGGCTGCTACAAGCCTGTTCTCTGCTCTGCACAGCACAGATGGAAAGTGAGTAAGCTAAAGGCTTTAAGCAACAGTTGCTGGGAGATGAGAAACTGAGGTCAATTGCCTCGTTTGCCATGTAATGCTACAATTCAACGTCCCAGTGCAAGTCTGAGTCAGGTTTCTCCAGCTGCTCTAATTCAGCCAACCTATTACAATGGCTAATTGTTCTGTTACATTTTAACTGACTTTTTTACTGCGTAAGTTGCAGCAGGCACTGCTTCTATAAGGCTATGTGTTTTCATGCTTCTATAAGGCTATGTTGAGGCTTCAGGAATATTTTCAGACAGACAGTAAGACTTCTGTCGTTTGAGCTATAAAACCTTAAAATGCCACCTGCAAAGGAATTTTTGGAAAAACCATCACTTTTCCTTTTTAGGAAAGCACTTTTAGTATAATGAGGATTTTATGGGTTTTTGCTTTTAGGTGATGATTTTTTTTTTTTACTTCTTTAAGATCAATGTCAAATCTGGTCCTTTTTGAAGATTGAATTTACTGAAGTTTCCTTTGGAGCCTCTCAGATGATTAGTGTGAGCTACACATCACATCAGATGTGTAGGAACGTCAATTAGGACACCCTCCTGTGTTCAAGGTACTGAACTTAAAATCGCAGTTGGCAAAAACTGAACAGAATTGGAACCTTATTTGAAAAAAGAAATAAATAATTGGAACAGTATATGGAACCTTAACTTGAGAAGTCTGAAAAATCCCAACCCCATTTAACATATCCATCCCCTAAGACGAAATCAGTTGCCTATTTCTTAGTTATAACAAAATCTTCAAGGCCAAATGTTGAGGATTTCCACTGTAAGAGCCTGACAAGAAGAGGTTACTTACTAATAACACGAGTTCTTTCAGATGCAGAGCTGACATACATATACACTTATACTGTTAAGTGTACATATGCTTTATCCCTCCAGACCTGAAAACTTGTACTTTTGGGGGGATCTAGAAAGGACATGGATTTGTCCGCGCTTTCCAATGTGTCGGCCTTTGTGCATTCGAGGGGAAGAAAGCTCAGCTTGCTGAAGACGGTATGATGAGACCAACATGGCTGCCATTGGCTTGTAACATCTGTGGACTCCTGGGATGCAACACGGCTTTCATGACCAGGCACTCCAGCAACTTAAATTCTTGATCCTTTCTCATTCTGGATTTAAAGCAGTCGTGGAAGGCAAACTCTTCTGAATCCATCCCTCTTATCTAATGTGGTACAGAAAGATGTCTTGTATGCAATGGGAGGATGGAAAAAGGCCTTCAAAGTGGGCCTTTCAGGCTGTTGCAAAAGCCACCAATGTAGACGAGAGAGGAGAGATTTCATTTTCTCATGAGCTGAAAAAGCTTCTCGTACCTGAGTGTGCTCCAGCTCAAGAAGTCTGCCAGGAGCAACTGAAATGGTTTGACACATTCTACCTAATATTCCCCAGAGAGGGGACTGTCTGGGCATGCTGCCTCTGGGTACTGCAAAGGAAAGAAGTTTTCTGGAGACATGGGGATGCCACACTGATTGTACCTGGATGATCGTATGAACAGAGAAACATTTTATCAAGTCCCCTAATCCTCCGGCAATGGACAGAACTTTGAGATCTGACTGCGTGCTTTTTCTTCTCTGCTCAATATGTACACTAGCAGTTTCCAACTCTTATCCAGCTTAAGTCTGTGCAATGAAGGACAAAAGAATAGAGAAAAGAAGGAAAAAGTCTTTGTGTTATGCAGAGCATCAGTCTAACCCTTGGCACAAGCAAGTGCAGAAATTGTTCCAATTTATGCCGGTTGTCTTCTGTTCACAGGTGCACTGGGCAATGAAGGAATATCTCATGGAAATTACTTTGGATGTCTCCCATATATGAACCAGAATTTGCTATAGGAACTGTTACGATGCTTTGTTTCTCCAGAGAGAATCCTTCACCAGTAGTTTTAGGGCTGCTTTACAAATGATTGAGAGTGAAGTGGGTTTCAAATATCGAGCAATAAACCCTCTTCTTCTTCCAAACCTTGTCCCCTTCAGTATTCTTTAATCAAGTCTTATGTTTTTGCAATTTTGATTTATGCAATTTTAACTCTGAGTAGAGCAGTTACATGTACAATCACTCCTAAATCGTGAGTATCGGTAATGCTGGCAGTGGATGTCAATGCACTAAAATGCTTTCCTATCTACAAAAAAAATGTTCTTGCCCACGTTTCCTCAGGAACTGCAGGACCTAAGGGAGTGAAATTTTTTTCATACCATTGTATATATTGTATTACCATAAAATATATGAATTAAGATGCATCTTTTTTACATCTTATTGTGAATTTCTACCACTTTAAGCCTTATTTTTCCTAACGTGATTTCACTTCTATCCATTGACAAATGGGTAGGACTGTTTCTTTTAGCAAACTGGAAGTGTTAGGCTTTCAACAGAAAATTTAATTTACTGTATGCTTGTGTTCTGAATATCTAGCTATTTTTTATGGATCTTGTACTTGCGTCAGAAATTCTAGATCCCGAGAAATAAAGCAAAACAAAACAAAAAGAGAATATTTGAGTAGATAACACCCTACTGAGGATTATATTGCAAGAGAAAACTAAGACAGTTAGACATTAAAGTTTCTGTATTGCTTAAAATAGTCATTTAAAGTGCCTGGGGTATTAAATGCTCCTCCTAAGGTATGGAAAGTGAGAAATATGTTGTAATTATTCCTGGATCACTATTCTTTCTTTGCCAAGCAAGGAGAAAATGAATTTCATCTGCTATACCTGGGTGTATGTTTGTGCTTGATTATTAAACCTATAAATGAAACTGCAGTACTTTGAAACCATCAAGAAGCATTTAAATGGATCAGGAGAAATAATAACCTCACTCAATCAGTCTAATTTCAGTTGATTCACCTATCATTAAAATTATATAATGTAACATCTTGTTGACCATGGTCTATCTATTTTTAACACAATTTGGAAGTTTTTTCTACTCCCTGTGGACACTAAAGTATCAGCAGAGAAGTTAAACAACAAAAGCACTGAGCCAAAACACTAAAATTCTTTCTAACCTGCCTTCCTGTACATCTTGTTATTTAAACTCTCCTACGTGCTATCGCTCTGCAATGTTGACTATTTCCCCAGTCACAAATGTCTGACTTCAGACACATTTATCTTTTTTATATAACTTATTTATAATAGTGTAAGCATGTTTCAAGAATTCATACACATGATCCTATATTAAAATATTTTTTCTTGAATGATTTAAACTTTCAATAGCATTTTAAATTTCTCTTGTGCTTAACTCAAGTGGCAAGCGTTCCCGAACTTTTTGGACAATAAGCCCTCTTAGTCCTAAAAATTAGAGCCACTACTTATTTCACCAAATTTAGCTGAAAACAATGCAACTGATTGATATGTATTCACGATTTCTTGAAACACCAGTAGTCTGTGCCTTACCATCTGACGAGCATAAATATAGGAAGAACTTAGTAATTTTCCACCAAAATAACAGGAGCTGTGAGGACTTTTGCTGAAATAACATTTTTGAGATGATTTTTTAGGCAAGAAGGTTAGAACAAGAAAGGAAGAATTAAAGCATTAATTTGCTATTTTCAAAATAAATGCATCTTTTTTGAAAAGAAAAAGGTGCTGCTAAAATAAAATTTCCCCAAATTCCATATCTGCATTATTTGTTAAGCTAAAACTCCCACTGACATGTCAAGAGAGCAGAGAACAACAATGGGGTCATCTAATAATAATAATAATAATCTGTTGACAGTTACAGGGCTAACCTCTTCCACAGGAACACAGAAAGGACAATGCTCTGCACAGATCTCTGTTATCACAGATGTTTCAAGTCTTTCCGATTCAGTGCGATAGCCAAATATTCCTAGGACCTCTTGAGATACGTAATTAGCTATCTGTGTGGTCTCTTCTTTGTCAGATCTGTAAGTGTTTTGGTTCTCTGGTTAAAGTAAATACATAACTTTTCATACGTTCTTTACATGTTTGCAGAGGAAGCTTCAGTTTTTCCAGTTTAGTCAATATAACATCAAACAGTCTAAACAATATTTAGAGAGATGTTTGAGTTATTGGGACTGATCCAGCTTAACGCTGCAACACTAGAAGTTGTGGAACAGCAGGGTAAGAAACCTGAAGAAATCACTTATGGTGGTAACATCTTCCCTCTGGTCCAAAAAGCAGCCCACATCTGCTTCATGAAGGTGGGATGTGCCCAGACTCAAAGGGCCCCTGTAAGAAAGTGTCCAACCCTCTCACCCCTTGTTGGCTAACATGGGACGGACCCGTGAGGGTAAAAGACATCACCAAACCCATCCTTCCCTGACTGCACAGGCAGTACAACATCGTCAAAAATGCAGGACGCTCTGCAAAATTAGTTTACGCCAGTTCCTGAGCCCACCTCTTAGCAGGATTGAGCACTGTATATAACGCGCATCAACCAGGTCTGATGTGTTTTGTGTGGTGTGCGCGGAGGTTTCAAAACTGGTGGCCAAGCCTGCTTGTTACAGACTTCCTGGAAGGCTGTAGCTTAGGTTAGAAGAATTACATGTCAAGACTTGTACGAAAAGCTACTCGCTAAGCTTACAATCAACAGCTGAGATCCCAGAGGTGAGTTATTTCAGATGGGAAATGAGATAATATCAAAGAAAACCTTTCCTCTTCTCCAGAAATGTTCTTTTACTATCCCATAGCAGATTAGCCTTTTCACGTGCTCAATTAATGTTATCTTCCATTAATCGCCATATACCTTGAAAATGTTTTAATATAATTAAAGAACTAATACTACTAGAAAGAACTATTAAATGAAGTATCTTCTATAAACTGACCACATCAAACGCAGTGAATACATGGCAGTAGTGGTGATTAGTCTTCAAGTCTTTAGTGATGTACGCAAATGTAGAAAGGTCTTCAGGGTCTTGTGCAGCACAGGAAATGTTACGGATTTCATGTTCAGCAATAATATTCTGTGTAAAAAAAATACTTTCAATCAGTTTGGGAATTAAATGTAAAAGAGCCACAAACTGTGTGGTTTTTAGATTTGCATTTACGTTCACCTGCTCTGCTGAAGTAATTCGGAAGTTTCTTATTAAGAAGAGATTTAATACACCTCATGTATGATCTTACACAGGTCACTGGAATTTTCGATCCTCTCCAATGATATCTAAAATTGCCAATAACCTGGTAGGAAACAATCACATTCCGGAGTCTAGCCTGTGAGTCCGCTTGGGTTTCGTACTGCTTGTTCAGTATCATATGACAAAGAGACAGCTTTCCTGGCATACAGCTGTAAATACAATTTCAAAGCACTATATGAGCATCTTATAATGCTGCTGGTTTTCTGTATCACGATCACTGCATAAGACTGTTTCAGTCTACTGATAGACAGGAGCTGGTGAAACCCAACAGGCTCAACATCCAGTTTGTACACGTGTTGGTTGACACATTTCAGCTATATTTTTTCAAGAGCAAAAACCACCAAAACACTTATAATTGAAACTCTGAGCTCTTGAAAGGCTTCTGTTTAGTAAAAAAAGATAACTGCAGAAGGATCTGGCAAGTTTTCTCCACTTACTGACAACAGCATCCTGTAAGAGAGATGTAGAAAAATTAAACCATTCATGCACCGAGCAACACTACTTGCAACAGCCAATGTAAGCTATAGCGTACTACTGAGACAGAGGTGGGGCATGTCTGTCCGATGAAATAAAAAAAAAAAGCTGTCTTAAAGCTTTGGAGAAAAATATGAATATTCATTACACAAATTGCTGATATGTAATTATTGTGTTCAGGCCAAAGGAACCATGAAGCCAGAGAAGAAGACGCTGCAGAGTGGCTTATGATTAGGCCTCGTTTCAGCAACACACACATTTTGAATGACTTATTTAAACAGAAGAACGATTCATTGAATATGAATTTACTTAGCGGTTGGTTTGTATGCTCTTCTGAATTGCAGCCCCGCTGGCTGTAGCTCTGGCTTTTCCATAAAAAAAACCGAGCATGACATCACTATTGCACCACACAACACGTGACATCTGTGGTGTCCCTGTCCCTCGCAGGGCCACCGTTTGCTGCTGCCTCAGTGGCACCTGTCCAAGTTAGAACAATCTCTGAGCATCTCTGGTTTTCCCTCACCCCTATCTTTTCCTTCCCGCCTCCTCTCCTCCTTCTCTTTTTTTTTTTTTTTTTTTTTTGGGAGAACGGGAAATATATGCAACTAAGTCACTTAAGATGCTTAGATGCTTTGCCATATCTTCTTTCATTTGCTAAGTGGCAACTTTCCCCCTTGCACGTAGGTGTCAAGTTTTCAAAAAGCCACATTAATATATCTAATTGAAGAAATCATGGCTTAGGAAAAATCTTAATAAAAAACATTCCAAATTTCAAATTATGGGAAAACCAAGATAAGGGAACTGTTACTGAAGAAACGAAATAATCCTCTTAATCTTAAATTGTTGCAACACACTTGATTATTTCTGTTTAATGCATTATTCATAAAAATGACAAAACCAGTACTTATGTTTCAATATATGCCAATTTATAACTACACGTATAATCTCTGCTTAACAATCATTGTTTTTTTATGTTGCTTTAAGCATTTTATTTGCTTTGTTCTCAAATTGATAACTTTTACCCTCAGTAAAGATTTTGATGAGAATTACAATTATGCCAAACCCAGGGATTTAGATGTCCAAAGATACAGCTGTAACATACTGTCATTGATGTTGTATTGGCAACACCGTAATTTAGAAAGAAGAAAGAACTAAAGCTTGGAAGGTCTTCAAATCATGTGAAATATTTATGCCAAATCATGAGCCACAAAGTAATCACCTGAAGTTATGCAGTGTATGTGAAGAGAGCTCTGCTATGCTGAAACTTTTCTGAGGTGACCTGGGGTTGACACAGGGCTTTGCACTTGAGTCAGAACTCACGGAGATTATTTTAATGTTTTAACTTCAAACCCAAGTGAAGTTTGGAAATATCCATATCAAGTTTGTTTTGAATAAAATGAGCTATGCCTAAAATGAATGGTATGGATGAAAATTAGTAGTGAAATTGAGCTCTTGCCCTAGCTTCTATAGGATATCCTCTCTGATCACCTTTCAAAATTAAACATGTTTTCAGTGCATGCATTTACTGTTTCCTAGGGTCACTGCTCCAGTACACCCATAGTTTTATTCTGTGGAAATGACAAGTCTAGGAACCATCTCGCTGGTCTGGGTACACTCCTTGGGCACTGACCAACACTGTCCAGTCATCGTTCTAAAATTTGTCACTCAGTTTGTCAAGAGAAACCTCCAGCACTTCCGAAAAAGAAGGGAAGCTGAAAGTCGGTTCTGGTTCTGCTGAGGAAATACCTTTGGGGGATCAGGTTTTTGCTAAGCAGCCTTCCTTCTGCTTGCCTACCTCGTGTCAGACAATCCCCGTCCTGGCAGAAATCATCCAGAAAGTTAGGGTTAGCTGTGACCCACAAGAAAATTCTGCAAGTCTGCTTTTTCCTAAGCAGCAATTTCTTCCTGGCCTCACTTGCAAAGAAATGGCGTCACATCAAAGTGGTGTCATGCCAAGCTCCAAGGCGCCACTGAAATAGCTGTCATGGAACGAGGTCAGGGCCCCTTGTCACCTGAACCTTTGCCTGCTACGCCTCGGAATACAAATTCTTAGCTTGGTGGCAGAAAGGAAAAGGATGAACAGCCATGAGAGCTGAGTTTTCAAGCACATAACTGCTAGCTAGTTTTGTCATTAAAAAAATATGCATTTATTGCTAAGTGGTGCCCAGCGCTGTCAACTAGAAGCTCGTATGGAAGCGGCACAAGTCTGAATAGGATCTCACCTTAGTGCTAATCTGTTTTGGGTCTTGAAGGAATTGGGTACAGCACACTGTGGACAAGGATGATAACAACGCTCCTGGGAGAGTTGCAGGCTATTACCTGGTTTTTACAGAAGGGAAAGGCAGTGCAGATTTTGAACTGGAGAGAAAGCAATCTACCACTTGAGAAAAAACACAGGACTGTGGCATCATTTACCTCCATCAAATACATCTATTGCACTACTAGGCGTAAGATTTCAGTGGGACCGGTCTAGAGACACCTAATGCAATTTGCCAAGTTTCTTTCAAGTTTCCTTCTTACGTGAGAGTCCATGTGCTGTGCAAAGAGATACTGGAAGCTCCTTTTGTTCTCCTGACGTTATTTTTTTTTAAACCTAAGGACATTGCAGCTACAACCTTTACACTAGAGAGGAGATTTAAGAGCTGAAAACAGTCTTGTCCAAGTTAGAGTTAATAGCGTTGCAATGTCTTGATTTATGCCCTGCACATCAGAGAACATAAAGGAAATGAGGGTTGTAGAAGTTCAAATTTGAATCAATGGAAGAAAAAGGAGCTGACAGGAATCCCTGGCCTCCCTGCTCTGGCAAATATGCCAGACTTGACATAACAGTAATTTCACCTCTGTTCTTCTTTCCTACCATCTTCTAACCGTAGATACAGCTCCCAAACTCTAGCAGAATTTCACAAATATGCTTTCGTTCTTTCACTTAAACCCCATTTCTAGTTAAACACCTTTAAAAACTGACTGACTTTGGCAAGTTTGATGGATACTGGGTTAGATGTATCAAGTAGTCTGAATGTTCAGCAACACAAAGCAGTTACATACATTATTAACCTGGTCAGGTAGCTGGGTTGTCAGATTTATTTTTTGTATTGCTTAGTGAATTTTAGTCACAGGACAGAAAAGATAATTTATTTTCTATTCATATGCAAACATCAGTACGGACTGCATTTTCTTGCCATTTTAGACATCCAAAGAAGAGAAATTCGTGCATTACTTTACTCCTGCTTACAGAGCATTTTACTTTGGCTAAGCCATAACCCATTGCTTTGTCCATCACTGGGTTTTCTGATCTCGCAATTTCTGCTTTTGTCTTTTGGTTTTTTGTTTGCCTTTTTTTTTTTTTTTTTTAAAGATGTTGGATGTATTTTAAAATGTAAGAAACAAAGCACAGGGGCATTGCCACACAGGAAGATGAAAAAAATATGGAATAACAACTGTTAAGAAGCTGCTGCAGTTTAGGGAGTCAAATGGCTCGTACCAGGAAAACAGCTCTCAGAGAAGCTCTGACATTTGAAAAGGACATTCAAGGCTCACGTTTCTTATTCTTACAATGGCTGGCCCTGCGTAAAACCTTGCATCTTTGCTGTTCATTGAGACATCTTCAATTTTTTTCCCTAAAAATTATATTAATGAACAAATATATATACATAGCGCATATTTAAGGAACTGTATAGGGAACAATATGGTAAAGAATTCCACAGAGGCTCCCTGCCAAATGTCTGTTGTGATAAGCTTGCCTTTTAATGGCAGAAGGTTGGACACAATGTTCTCTAAATGATCCATTAAAGCTGCTTCACTTGTCCTCCAGACTGAGTTTCTGGAGAATGACAATAAGATTATATCCATTTTGGAGAGAGGAGGAAAAAGAGAAGAAAACACAAAGCTCAACTCTGTCCCCTCTCTGGCCCGGTGCTCTCACAGAGCCAGCCTCCTAGGTATTCCTATTTGTGAGAAATAAAAGCTAATATTAAACAATTGCACATACCTTATTTGTTGCATCAATAAATTTGACTCCCTTGTAAGAGACAGATAGGACAATGGTTGGTACTTTCTTCATTTGTTCTGTAGACTTCTGAAACCAAAATGAAGATGTTGTTAGAGTTGTGTTGCGTTGCAAGAACAGTGCTCTTTCTCTTCTGCTTCTGACAAAATACCTCAGTTAAACAAAAGGTACTTATCCAAATATTTGACTTTTTCTTAAGCTGACTGTGCTCTGGGCTTTGGAAATAGCTGCCTTGTAGTTACAAAACTAAAAAGAGCTTTACAGTTTGTTGCAAGGACGATAATAATTCTCCTTTTTCCTAGCACAATGGGAAGAGAACGATGTAAGTTTGCCAGGCTTACAAAAAGGACAGTCATGCAATCAGTGGTTTCCCAAAACGTGCGTGTTTAAGACATCTATCTGATATGCCCCATTCATCGTGGCCTCACCTCCTCCTCTCTTCCTGCCCTTCCCAGCTGTAAAAACCAACAGTGCGGTACTTCTCGTAGTACTGCTCCTTTGCTGCAATTAGTTGCTATTTAAAAATATTTCACTCTCTTGTCTTCTTGCAGTCGTATTTGTGACATAAGGTGTGGCTGCAGCCTACTAGTGCTATGCTACTTCTGTGTGCCTTCAATGTGATGCACACAGCAAAGATATTTCCTGCTGGACAGACTGGCCAAGTATCTGGGATAGGTTTAAGTCTTCTGCAGAAAACCGGTTGATTAGTTCACAGATTAAATTCACTAAAAAAATAAAAACAAAGAAAAAATGGCGTAATAGTTTATAGCTGATTTAGAATCCTTTTAAGGTGGAAGGCAAAGACGGACAAGACTACTTCAGAGAAATAATGTAGATAAAGTTTAGAGAACACTCGCTCATGGTTGTATCTGGAAGCAATCATAGAGATCAAGCAAACATATTCTTGAGAGGAAAGAGTAAGTTCAGCTACAGTTAAAGATGAAGAAATATCAGCACATGGAATGAGAGTGGAAACGCATTGAAAGGTCTAGAATTGGCACCTGGAAAGATCATTAGAGCAGCTGAACAAAAGTAGCAGTGGTGGTTTTGAATTCTTCAAGAAAAATAAAACAGCACAGATGTAAGCTTGAAAACACAGACAGTATCTGAAAAAAAAACCTGTTTGAAAAATAGGTGATGGTAACACTAGAGAGCAAAACAAAGAAAAGCTGAAAAGAAAAAACACCTGTAATCGTCCCCTTATCAGATCTCCTTCCTTCCAGAATCAAATGAGACTCCATTTTTGTCAGCATAATATTCAAAGCTACAGATCCAGCTACATTCTGCAATTAGTGTCCTGTGCCATGAAGGCTAAAACCTCTAATTAAAGTCTCAAGGTGAGCCCCACCCATCCGTGTAATGGAGAGGACTGTTGCACCTCTCAATATCAAATGACAAGAGACTCAGGATGACAATCAAGCGTCAATTTATCCTGGAGAAAGCTTCTTTCACCCAGAAGATTGGGCACTTTTAAAAAATAAAAGTTTAAATGATAAAACACCTTGAAGAATCTAACAAAATCTGAAGGAAGACACCAATATGATTTGCAGGTCTCTGAACTGAGAGGAGAAAGGAATAGTATCCCTGCCAAAAGCACAGTAAGTATGTACCTCTGTGCGTGTGTGTCTGTGTGTGTGTGTCTCCATAACAGATCTCAAATAAGCCTTTTCATAGAACTCAATTTCAATGCACAGAAAGCACGATGGTGACTGTACGGAAGCAGCAGTACATACATCTATCAGAATAACAAGCAATATACCCCGCATATGCTCATATCCAGACAAAATATTTGCAATATGACAACATCACTTTAATCACCTGGCAACCCAGCAATCATCCAACTTTTCTCCTTTCTTCCTATCCCGACAGCTACTCTCAGGAGCTCTTTGTCTCCCATTTTGATTATTGTAATTATCTCCTTCCTCGCCTCCTTAGCAGCAAAATTCCTCTTCTCCTCCAACACGCTATCCAAACACGGCTACTGAGTTAATTTATTTTAGCTTTTTGGTCTAATTTGCACTATCTTCCATTTGCCATGAAGGTGAAGCTTCCTGTTGGCAAGGCCACGTTTGTACTAACCATCTGGGAGTCCTCTTTCATCTAGACCAGTAGTTTGTAATTTAATCATCTTTCCTATCTGCTCCACATTCACCTGGGTTTGTCTAGAGCAGACCAGATCTTTAGCATTTAATCGAGGCCGTGAACTGTCAGAAGACTGCATCTGAGTCAAACAGCACATCGAGATACTATTAAATTATATCTGGCAAATTAGGAAATGAATCAGAGACTGATGGCCATTTGTAATTTATTAAGCCAAACTGCCTCAGCTGGTAAGGAGCAGTGGATGTCCCTCATCAGCTTGCAAACGATACAAGCCCCAGGATTTGCGCAAAGGTGTTCTGGAAGACTGTAGTCCAGTGGAGAAACACGTACCCCCATTGGAACAAACAGCTGGGCAGTGAAATAACATCCTTGGTTATTATGACAGTGCTATCAAGAAAAACACACAGCTCTACTCCCCCCCACTCGACTCCCAGTGATGCAGTAACTGAAGTCCACCATATAATTATTACTCCCAAGCAGTTTCCACATTTCAACAGTTTTGAGTTGTCATGGTGAGCTCATACTATTTGCTTATTGCTCCTTCCTTTTTAACGGAGGAGGTGGCTGCCAGGATGTGTAACGTGAGTTTTCAGAGATACAATATGAATACCACTCGCTCAGGCACAGTAACTGCTTTGGCTCTAAATTCTAGGACGTTGAGATGAAGTCCTGCAGCTTTCATGGTCAGACATTTCACACCTCTGTGCGGGCCAAGTGGGCATCTCTGCCTGTGCCTGTGCCCAGAATCTGAGAAGGTGGTGGGACACAGGAGTCAGTATTCCCTTTCCTTGGGCTTTTCAGGTTCTAGCCACCGTATCAACTCTGTGAGGACATGATGAGATGACAAAATATTCTTGTCCATCTGGTGCCTCTATGGGAAGCATATGGACCCGAGCCCAAAGTTATAGGAGCCACAGCTGAAGGTTGGCATTGGATGTCATGTGCATGCTGACATACGGTCTAACGCTCCAAGGCATTTTCATACCATGGTAGCAGGATTAGATTTTATCTCATGTAGAAGCAATCACAGTGACAGAACTCTCTCTTTGGGCAAGTCCTCACTAGCCTGGAACTGGTCATAGTTCCTATAAACTCCATCGTTTGTGACTGCAACTTTGGCTCTTTGTTTTAATACTCTTTTTTTTTAGAAGAATCTTCTGGATGCACAGCAAGCGTATTCCAGGCTTGTTGCCACTGCCTGTCTCCGATCAGCTGGTCATCTACATAAGGACAGATGTGTAAGCCCTGCCTCCTCAGGTGCGCTGCTCCTGCAGCGAGGAGCCTTCATGCTGCAGACTCCGCGTGCCAGAGAGACTGAGCTTCGCTCCCACTTCTGAAATGCCTCCTACGGAACAGGTAGATGACTACGGGGAAGAAGGCCATGTGTAACTCAAGAACCATGCAGCAGGCCTGACTGCAGACACGGGAAGATGAAAGAAAGCATCACCATCCTAAGTTTGATGTGACATATGTTCAGCTTCCCCAGACCCCGCCAAAGACATACAGCCTCTTTTCCTTCAGAATAAAGAATAACAGGACCAACACCCTCTCCTGTATTTTGAAGCTGCTGCATCCCCTCAGCACCCAGAATGGAGATCTGTCCAATGGAAGGCATCTTCTGCATAACTACCTAGTTATTACAGTGCTTGCTTTTACAATAAAGGTCTGGATTTAAGACCCTTCTGAATTTGCATCTGCTGTTAACGCAGGACAGCGCCAAAGCCCTCAATAGTCTTGGACAGGGCTGCTCCCAATTCCTCCTCTTGAAACTGCTCATAAAGGGGTGCAAGAGCAGTGGTGCCAGAGGGAGAGACTGAGAGAGCAAGCATGCTTCTGATCTTGTTTATGAATTGTCTCTAATTTCACTGAAAAAAAACCCATACTCACAAGCAGACTCTAAACAGATTTCCACAGTATCGGACTACAAATTGTCTTAAGTGGGTAAAGCATTTTGATTTTGACTTAAAGGCTGTGCAGAACTGCTAGACATTTATTTAGAATATAAACTAGAATCCAACTAATTTGAGATCCTCCCAGCCAGTGTACCAAGATAATTAACGATGACTTAAGAGGCAGAGGACTTTGTTCTATGAATAAAGCAATATAAACCAGCTGTTTATTTTTAAAAAGCAAATACACGCAAGTACAAAACCTATAACCCTAAAGGGCCTTTAAGCCTTTTGAGACAGGATTGTACTGCAATACCTTGTTCCGTGCAGAACAGAGAGCACTAATCCAACACTTTTGAATACTCCTGAAGTGTACAAAACACAGTATCTCTGTGCACATACACACACCAAAGCAGCTGAATCAGAAATTCAGGAGCACTGTAGAGTGGCATCCGAGTAAGATGCTCACACATTCACTGGATATACTGTAGCACATGGTGTAATCCAGCCCACTCTCAAAATGCTTTCTTCTTGTCTATTTATTTTCTGCCAAGAGGAATCGGGATACAGTGGTACTTCTACTTTGCCACGTTGACCACTTTCATGTACTTATATATACGTTTACAACTGGATTACTCTGCTTTCATAGAGTGGCCAAAATGAAACCATGTTCATTTTTTAGGTTTTACTGCATATGTAATTATACTCGCTCTTGCAAATACACAGTAAAAAGGCATTATTCAACTATGCCAAGTCACTAACAATTCCATACATAGATTTCGAGTACAAGTTTATGAGCCTGTAAAATCTTAAGATTTCATCTTGGCTTTTTACTTTTGCAAACGAATCTGCTAATTCTGTCCTATATTGTTTTTTAATAGCTATCTCAGGACTGTAGCTGGCAATTTTACTATTCACTTATGTACTGGAATCCACTTCACTAAGAGAATACGAACATTTTCCCATACTGGTAGCAACTGTTAATTCCAAATGGCATCAAACTGCACATTTCAAAATATGTATTGGTACCACCTACTATCATACCCATAAGTCTTCTACTTATTTAAGGCTTATGAAGCCTTATTAAATAGTTCCTTTCGAGTGAATCACTTTGACAATATCATGCAGGAGATGAAATTGAAATAAAAAGTAAAAGTTCACATTTGACCGGTCAGTTTTGAAGCCGATTTTGAAGCTACAATCTGCCTTATAACAAATATTTACTGACTTCTCTCAGTCCAAAAAGCTTAAAAATGCATCACTGACATAATTTAACACCTCTTGGAATAAGATAGCATCTGTAATCCCTGTGGTACAAAACTGTTTACTTCTCTACAATTAGTGGATGCCTCCAAGCTACATCATTAATATGAACATTGCACTGGGGATGCACCTGCAACTCATCTACTCGAGAATAAGAGGTTTTTGCTTTTGCAATATCTGTACAGACTCATCTGCTGCTGAAAAGGCAGCGCATCCCTCCTGCACCTTGGATTCCTTTCAGCCACAGCGTTCAAGGACAAACAATCCTCTGAAGAACATGGGAGGGCATGATGTGGATGTGCATAAGGACTGAACATCTTTAAGACCTCCCACCACTTCTTTTTGCCTTTTGAGTAATATCCACACGCCTGTGCCACTGCAGACCCTCCCAAAGCAGTGGCCACATGAGAGGGACAGAGCTACAAGTCCCAAGAGAACAGAGACCGAAGAAAGTAAATTCTCAAATACAGTATTTGATCCTGACATGGTATTTGCCTGGCTAGTTTCACTAGGGAGCCCAATGGAGGACACTTCTACTTTTGGGGGAGAATAAAATGGAGATTGGCAAGTAGAAAGGGATTAGCAGAAAGATGGAGACTGCCATCTATATCCAGGTCCTCCTTCTTCATGTAAGAAGGAACCAGGAAGGCATGCCCCAGACCCTGTCTATTTCCAGTGAGAGAGTCAACTGCTTCATCTTCACCTTCCTCCCCAGAGCCAAGTAGATTTTGCAACAATTCCAACTTTGACATTTTGGTCTGAAGTCAGCAGGATATTTAAACATTTGCTTTGTGAACAGAATTATGTTGCTGGTTCCCCAGAACTTTGACGTGAAATGCAAGAACCTTTTTTCTAACAAGAAAGCCTTTAAGCAAGACCCATACTATTCAAGAAGGTGGTAGGATCCAAGAAAAAAAAAAAATCTAAGTTCCCTATTGCTGCAGTAAATATCTGATTGGTTCAGACGGTGCAATTGGTGTATGCAACATTAGTGATCTAACATTACTGCAAGGAAAGAGTTTACCTTGCTGCTGTGCTCGTGCCAGTAAGTATAAAACTGTCCCCTTCCTATCTGGTCAAGGAATTCAGATGTGTAAATGCCAGATGGAGTCTACTGTAGAGAACAAGTTTCTTCCTACCTCCAATTGAACTTTATTCCTTCTCTTTATTTTTATGTAAACACATGTTATTCTCGCTTCGTGTTCCTATGGTGATTTGAAGTGAAGGCAGTAATCTGATTGAAAACACAACTTGTAGTACTTCCTATCCCACGCTGAGAAAGATGAAAGTTCGTTAGTTCTTGAAGGCATCTCTCAAATATAATTAATAAAACTATTCTGGCCAGGACAGCAAGATTTAATCTCCAAGTAGCAAAGGTCAGTTTACAGCAGGTGGGGAATGGAGATAAGGAGACAGTGCTGTCGACTGCAGAGGGAGCTTGTGAGAGAAAATAGCTGGAAACAAATAGGAAACCATAAAATATAAATCCATCCTTGGAGCGCAAAAGCGTGAATGGAAAAATAAAGTATAATCCCTCTAACGGGCCCAGTTCTGGCCAAATATCCATAATTTTGGACAGCTGCAAGAGTCTGCAATTTGGGTGGGAACAAAAAGCATGTATAACCTTGACCCTCGTGCTGAGCACAATCTATTGCATCTGCATGATTTTCCCCAAACAAATCCATCATCTGCCCTGCTGGAGCACACTGCTGTGAAACACAGTGCATAGCCAAGAAGAGTTATTAAGAGAGAGGTTCCCAGGTTTTTCTTTTGTTTGTTTGTTTTGGGTTTTTTTTGTTTGTTTGTTTGTTTTGCATTATAGAAGATTTAGGATGTCCCTTCACTCTTAAGCTATAAGAGAAGGAGGCTGTTGTAAGCCCCTCTGTGGAGAGAGGCGAGGGATATCTGCATGACACTTCTCTTGAGAACCAAAAGCATCAATTGCAGTAACTGAAAGCACAGGAGGCATCTGCAACTAACAGGAGGGATCTGCAGTCAGCAAACATGTCATTTTTGTTGTTTCTCTGTATCTATGAATGATTAAGGAAGATCAAGACACTTTTTTCCACTGATAGGCTTCTTTCGTCCTTGTGCATCTGCCGACTGGAAGGCATCCAGTAAATATCAACACTTTTTTGATCAGCATTAGTTTAAGGATGGAGAAGCTAAAGCCACATTGGCAGAAAAATTAGGTACCTAATTTTCAGACATTCTCCTTAAAAAACCACTATGCGGCTGACTCCAGAAAGATTAAAAAAATGCGGGGAAGAACCTCAACGTGGTACAAGGTTATATGTGACGTACTCCCATCTCACATATTTCAGATTGCAGCGTGCTGCAGATTTGAAATATATAAATGGAAAAAATCCCTAAAATTAAGAAATGTTGCTCTATAACGTTAGTACAACTCTATGTAAAAATCCTACTGACTCAAAAGACACTGGACAAGTGGACAGAATTCAGTACCTGAGAAGCAGTCAAAAAAATAAGTGAAAAGACAGATATATTAAGTGAAATGTCCTTTTCAGTACATTTAAAGTCAAGTGTGACTATAAAAGAAGCCACATCTTCAGTGACAACCCAGTGGTACTTAAATATGATAATGAACATCACAGCAAAATTTCAGGATGATTTAGGACTACCTGGACTCCCAATTCATAGACACCAACTTTTAGAATACAATCAAAGGAGAAAGTTTTGGAAAAAGATACATTTTCTCACTGGGAAACTTAGACTAAAATAATAATCTGTTCCCATTAAGTCAATGTTTTTTGCTTCTGACTTGAACAGGAATATGATTAAAAAGACTACATGTAAAGAATAGATGAAATCCTCTTTGCAACAAAACCCCCTCAAACCAGAAAAAAACACATTGTTGCAGCACAATGGTTTCAAAGCAGAATGTGAAAAATAAATGTATATAAACCCCATCACTGTATTATCTAAGTGCCCTGTATGGCACTACAGACTACTGGTGCAACTCAAATTTTTATATAAAAATTGTATTTAAAATTAAGTTTGGTTACAAACATTTCTTCAGGTATATAATTTAAATTTGCCAAACTTATTACTTAAAAAAATTCTTAAAATGGCTATAAATTATTTATAGTGACTTTTTTTGATGTTAAGCTTCCTAGTTCAGTCAAATAACTTACTGAAGTTGTCATATGCTCCTGTATTGTCAAATCCTGCCCTAAGATCTGCACAGGCATATGCCTAAAAAATTGAGCTGCTAAATCTGGCGGTTTGAAAACTGGATTGGAAGATGGTATGCTTGCAGCCTCACTGTTCTGGTTTGAGGACCCCCAGGACACGTGTATGTGACTGTAGATCCCTCTGTTAAGTTATTGGGGTTTTTTTTTTTTTAGAGGAGTTTAAGCCCAGGTAAGGAATGATTAGCATGTAATTAGCTGAAAAGCCACAGATCTTCGGGCAATCTAGCGAGTGTGAATTACTGCCAGCCCTTAGCTAAAACAGCTTGTACAAAAGTCTGTGTGCTGCAGATAAGTGACCTATAGGAAATGGTTTTTTGATTGCATGAATTTTACACATCTTCCAGCTTTCTAATTGATCCAAACGCTACGTCTAGTGCTCAGAAGCATCTTGCATAAAAGACTTCTGATGCACAGAATTAAGGATTTCACTCGTTCATCTATGGTAGATCACCAAACAATTATATTCTTCACTAATGAATCATGCCAGACTGCGATACGTTTGTCATCTCTATGAACAGGTGCGCTCTCAGTACAGCTACAATCGGGAATAAATCGTGTAGCTGGCCTGTGGCTTGTTATGAGTTTCCAGCAGCAGTATGTTTGTTGGAGACAGACTGAGCCTCACTGTAATTTTCTACAAACCAGTATCAGGCCAAAGAGCCACAGGAAAACATATTCTTACCAGTTTGAAGGAAACCTAACTGCTCGTCCACCATCAGGTGAAACTGAATTGGTTCCCGTTTCATCCTTCAATCAATAAGCATGTAACTCACAATAAATGGGAATACTCATGCGAGTAAAGGCACCTATAGGATTATGTGACTGTAGGATTAGACCATACGTGAAAAACAATGGTTTTGGTAACACATTAATATATTTACTAGTTCCTATTATCACATAGTAAATTCAATCTAGATTATCATCTATGCGCTATGAATTCTGTTTATAAAAGCAAAGCGATATGGGCTTTGCTTTTCTAAGGGCACAATTAAAGAATGTAGGAAGTACTTTGAAACAGACTCGAAGATTCAAGAGAAAACAAAGTACGCGTTTGCTTTTTCTTTCTTAGATACAACATGCAAAATAAAATCTACCTTTAAATTTTGGTATTACTTGAAACGAAGATAAAAGGCAGGACAGAATTCCTACTGAATGCCAATGTAAACACAAAGGCAAAGGAAAACACATGAGTAACAGAACATCATAAAAGCAAAAAGGGCACACTACAAGTAATCACTGGCCAATATTATTTAATATTATGACGACAGAGAAAGGAGTAGGTTTACTAACTTACCCTCATTTTCGCACACGCATCCTGTGTCGACTCTGTGCCTCTTAACTCTTTTACCAGCATAGAACCTAAATACTAAAATAAAAATCCATTAAACTTCATTTAACTAAAATTCCAGAACAGAAAAACAGCTGCAGAAATGCACTAAAGATGCCTAAAAAAAAATAGTGGTAGCAGTCAACTTAATATACGGTTTAGAGGTTGTTTTTTTTTTTTTTTAAACTCTGTAGTTCTCTGATAAATCATTTAAACCAGTGTGTGAATCAACCCATGAAACAGGAATGCACAGCAACAAGTGTAATGAAGCCCTTGAAACGGTAACTGAAAGTCTGCTAGCTTACCACCTTAGTCACTCAAACAACAAACAAATACTACAGATTCCGTCTTAAAAATGCCATTTGATTAAAAAAAAAAAAAAGCAGAATCTGCTTTTTCTTCAGCCGCCATCTGCCAAGCTCATATTGCTATGTGTGCAGTCCCGTGGACGTGAAGGCCAGCAGCGATGTTAACCTCCGTGTACTCAATCTGTAACTAATTTACGTGCAAACAGCAGAGCCTGATGTCAGCAAACAGAGAAAACAGAACTGAACTGAAAACTAGTTTAAACCGTTATTTCTTCCTAAGAAAAGGAAGAAACCATTATTTTGAAGCCTTTGCTGATGTGAAGGAGGGCTGGGTGAGAGGAAGCAGCAGGGTGCTGGTGCTGGGTCCCGGCTCAGCTCGCTGAAAGCCACCATGCTCTCCAAGGAACCTGCTCCTCTCCAAGGGTTTGCAAGGCAGCAAGTGCCCCACTGACACGTCCCCTTTCCTACCTGCCTCTTCCTCACTATGTCACTTGCTGGCATGTGCAGTTTAAGCCCTCCCCCGACAGCAGGCTCTGCTCCTCTGGGGTCTCAGCACCTCTCTACACCACATCTGATGCTCCTCCAGGGATGGAGTTGGCCGCATCACCCCTGCTGTTCTCGCCGAGCAGCGAGCTGTCTTGTTCCTGCTAACAGGGCTGTGCGAGAGCCATGCTCTGCATTTCTCCCACAGATGCTACAGGCGTGTGCCTTTGTGGATGTGCACATGTTCATACAGCTCTCTGCGAACAGAGTGTTTCTGTATGGTGTCACATGCAAGTCTGGCTTAACCGGGGAAAGAGGACAGCAAGCCACTCCTCTTCTTCTCCTCCCCAGGCACAGAGATGTCTATCTTTGCACTCTCATGGCAGCACAATGCCATGGCTTCTCTTAAGTCTTCAGCCACGGCAATCATGGAATTTTCAGAGTTGGAAGGGACCTCTAGAGATCATCTAGTCCAACTCCCCTGCTAAAGCAGGATTGCCCAGAGCACATTACTCAGGACTGCAGCCAGGCAGGTCTTGAAAACCTCCAGAGAAGGGGACTCCACAGCCTCCCTGGGCAGCCTGTGCCAGTGCTCTGTCACCCTAACCATAAAGAAGTTTTTTCTTGTGTTTGAATGGAACTTCCTATGTTCCAACTTGTGCCCATTGCCCCTCATCCTGTCACTGGGAACCACTGCAAAAAGTCTGGCTCGATCCTCCTTCAACCTACCATTTAAATATTTATAAGCAATAATAAAGTCTCCCCTCAGCGAGAGCGAGGTTGAGTCCTAAGTGAGCAGCATGGTAGAGCTGAAGAGAAGACATGCCACTGGTGAGAACGGGGCAGGTGAGCTGCAGGAGGAGAGACAGCACCATGGGCAGGAGCCTCTTCCCAGAGGATGGTACAGCAGTCAATCAGCGCTGCCCGACCCCTTTTCATTCTACCACACTCACCCCCCCTTGGAAACAGCCTAAGCTGACCAAACCAGACAGCAAACTAGCTTCACCTTAAAGAAGAACCTATCAAAAATAACTTCAGTTACAGCTGAGCGCAAGCTGGAACTGAACAGAAAGCGTACTGGTTCAACTCTCCGGTCTCCTGACCTAAACTAAGATATTTTCTTTAGAGGTTTCACTTCTCACTGTGTACTGCAGGAGTCTCTGACCTGCAAGAAAATGCATTAATATTTCAAACGTAGGCAGTAGCCAACACGGTAATTAGGGAGAAACATTTTACAGGGCATTATAAATGGAAGGGTGAGCAACACCAACAC